TGTGTCAAAAATTGTCTTCCTCTCCTATCAATGCCCTCCAAATTTCTGGTTATGGAGCTGGGCTGTGGCAGACTCATGCAGGTGAATGGGCAAGCCCTTCATGGAGTCAGAAATCCCCCTTCCCACTTATTTTGATTACTAAAATCACATGTACTCATATAAAATCACATCCATCTTCAGTCTGAGTCACGATGGATTAACCAGCCCTTCTCCTTCCACTTTGGATCAGCTGAGGAGATTATTTGTGCCATGTTTTCCCCTGCTGTGGGAAACCAAACCTCTTTCATCTTTCAGGACTGGCACCAGCAGTCAAAGCAGCGTGATGAACCAGAAATTACTGCTCCTCTTCCCTTTCCAAAGGACTTTCCCAGGACCCAACTCAAAAGCCTCGTTCCCTCATTCCTCATCAAACTGCTTGGGGGTTTCACTCCCAGCCTTTACTCCCCACATCACGTGGAACCTGTCAAATGAACCTGAGACCTGTTATCCAACCCAGCGTTCCAGAAGAGGATCCCCTGGCTGAAGCAGCCCTATCCATGGCCCCAAAGGCTCTGCTCAAGAGGAGGCTGCCGTGGTGGAACAGCCCCAGCCGTGACATCACACCATCTGTTCCAGAAGGGGGTGGAACAGCCCCGTCCAGGACGGCCCTGGAGGCTGCCCAGTGTTGTGGATCTCTCCAAATGATGGACACCCCACGCCCTGAGGGGCCTTCTGTCCTCCCCAGTCCCACGGTGTCCAGCAGGGAATGCTCCACAGCCCAAGGGATTTGTTCTCCCCGGTGCTCGGGACAGATTCCCAGTTCCCACCCCGGTTAGGGATGGGTGAGGGGTTCTTACAGCATCCTGGGGACATGCTTGAACCCGTGCTCTCCACCACCCCCCAGTGCTCCCAGAGAGCCTTCCAGGGGCATCCAGACCTCAGGTGGCGACTGATTCTGACAGCCCCTCCAGAGAACTCGGAGTAAAGGAAACCTCCCTCTGCCCAGACGGCTCTGGGGGCATTTCCACACCAAAAAACCCCCCAAACCAAGGAGTTAAACCCTCCACCCAGCCCAGCCACGGGTCAGTGTTTCCTGCAGGACCCAGCGAGGTGGCTCCTCTCCCTCCTGGCTCCCGGGAAGCACTTGGATGATGCCAAGGAAAAAGGCTTAGTGAGGTTCTGTGGGAGCACCAGGGACCCCCAGGGATCCTAACCCGCTTACACAGGGAATTAGGCATTGCTGGAATTCCTCTGGGAAGGTTCCATCCTCAGCAGGCTGTGAAAGGCAAGTCCAACCCTGCAAACCACCCTGAATTCCTGTTCCCAGCCCTGCAGGCCCAGGAGCCAGGATTAATAACAAACCTTACATAAACCCAAACCCTCAAACAGCAAGGGCTCCAGAAGGAAGGATTAATTGGGGAAAGGAGGATTATTTCCTTGAAGACAGTTAATCTGGGCAGAGGTTTCTTTAAAACCAGTGTTTTTTGGGGCTGGGGGCTGAAAGTAATTTTTTAAACAAACAAAAAAAAACCAAACCCTGCCTAGAGTGGCCAGATTTTTGTGTGTAGATGGTTCTTTACTGCTAAATACATCTAATATATGGAAGTGTTTACAGAGCTGTGGCAATTGAATGAATATCACCAGTGTAATAGAACATTATCATTTGTAACAGTCAGTTTTGCCTTTGCTGTTCTGTCAAACGAAAAACAAACACAGAAATGAAAGGATTCCTGTCATCTGGAAATATCCAATTAACTGATGGATAGGCAGTCCCCTAATTATCATCTCAAGTCACCCAAAAGTTGATTAATGAAAACTCCCTGCCTGGGGTTGGCAGTTCTGTGGAGCCGTGGAGCATTTTGGTATAAATTCTATTATTTGTATTATGTGTTTGTATCTCTGCCTGGAGAGGTTGGGTGGGGACTCCAAATCCCTGGAAGTGTCCAAGGCCAGGCTGGACGGGGCTTGGAGCAACCTGGGCCAGTGGGAGGTGTCCCTGCCCATGACAGGGGTGTCACTGGATGGAAGTTTGTGAAATGTCAGTAAAATTTAAGTCAAATTAACCCAAACACCCCCTGGACTCCAAGGCAGAGCTCTCAGGGCAGTGCCCTGCCCTGACTGGCAGCAGCAGACGTTGATAAAACACCCCAGTGTGTCCTGGGGCCAATAAATCGCTCCCAAACGGTGCAGAAAACAATTAATTTCCCCAGTGAGAAAAATCAGTCACTTCAAATGGAGTGGAACAATCCCAGAAAACTGGCAGCTCGTGGCAAATCCGGGTGAGGGACTTGCAGTTCTAATTGGAAGAGGGGGATCAGCACCGATGGTTTTGTCATCCCTTGGACTTGGCAGCAACTGAGGGATGAAGTTTTCCTGTTCCACGGTGTCTCTGCTGGTTTGTCATGGAACTATGGAATGGTTTGGAGTGGGATTGACCTTAAAGACGATGTTGTTTCATTCCCCTGCCATGGGCAGGGACACCTCCCACTGGCCCAGGTTGCTCCAAGCCCCGTCCAACCTGGCCTTGGACACTTCCAGGGATCCAGGGGCAGCCACAGCTTCTCTGCCCAACCTGTGCCAGGGTGTTCCAACCCTCATTATTCCAGTTTGGATGGGCAGGAAGAGTGAGAACCCACAGCTGTTTGCACACCCGTCCTTACATCACTGCAACAGCACTGGCACCTCCCTGTCATTCTGGACCAGGAGGATGGAAAACCCTTCCCAGAAAGTCTCAGGGAAGAGCTGCTTGGTTTAGGGTCACTGCTTCACTCATGCCCATCACCTCCAAACCTTGAGACCTCCCTGCACTTTGTGGGTGTCCAGGGAAGGGAAGGGAGCTGGGAAGGGTCTGGAGAACTCCTGAGGGAGCTGGGGGGGCTCATCCTGGAGAAAAGGAGGCTCAGGGGGGACCTTCTGGCTCTGCAAGTCCCTGCC